TGGCTAGACGTTCGTCCACCGGGGTGAACGCCAGTACTCGGCGACGGAGTCTATCTCCTACCACGAAACCAACACCGAATTTGCGCTCCTTTACGTGGCAACTGTAGTAGACGTCGCAAGGCTTCACGCTTACTTTACCTTGCCCCGTCCATCGCATTTCTTGGATGGCGGTGATGTCAGCCTTTGTCTTCCCGAGGACATCAACCAGCCGGGCAGAGGCACCTTCCCCATTAAGGGTCCGGACATTCCAGGTGCATACCCTTAAATCATAGTCCTTTATACGTTTGCCGTGGTCGTCATCAGAAAAAGGGGGTATCATCCGAGGCTTGTTGGAATTTTTCATTGGGCGGGGTTTTAACGTGGCGGGACCCAAACCCAGCGCACGCGAAGTTTTACGCCTTCTCACTTTAGCTCGCTCCCAAACGGGTGTTTGGTTGCTACCCAGAGGATACGTGGATATAAATATCCGGACGTTGTGAGCTGCGATTTGAACCGTACGCACAAGAATCGCTTCTGGCCACTCCCAGGTGAATGGCAGTCAAAATTTTTCCACTTCTGCGCACGGAACCATCCTCCCTAGAGAATTCTTAAGACTTTTAAATTAAAATGGAAGGTCTGTGGAAATAAATAAGACTTTTGACAGAATAATATCTTCTCCTTTGCCCCATTCAGTAATAATTATTGCTGAAATTATTTTGGTAATCATATTCTTTACTACCAATATTTATTCATTATTAAGGTTAGGTGGATAAAGGTGATATTCCCTGAACGGAGACGGCATCACGGTTGCCAACATTTGGATTCTTGAAACCGGGACGCACAATAAGTGTGTTCTTTTGCTCGCCAGCAGGTGCCCGAGAGTGACCAATTTGTGCCATATTCCGGGCGAGTTTGTGAAAACTTTGCAACTGCCAGAAGAAGAGGAAAAATTTTAATTCTATCAAAATGTAAATGCCTGTTCTTCCAAAAAAAAATTATTAAAAACGGCCTTAAGCTCAATCAAAATGTTGAGTATATGTAATTGTTATAAGACCATAAATATCAAAAAAAGTAAAATTTCATTTATAAAAATGTTCATCAAATGAAGCTTCAATGATAATATTTCTAAATTACTTAAAATCTTTACCAAAATTTAAATAAAAATTTAGGTAGGTATAGTGCCACACTAAATTATTGGCATAAGGAATTTTTCACAATGCATGCATTATTTTTTACTTAAAAGTTACGGCGAATTTAAAAAAATATGGTTGATACTACAACAAAAACATAAAAAAAAATCTCTTAAAAACTCAGGAAAATTCAATAAACTTGCCTACACGTTGGCATTTAAAGATAACAATATGTCAGTTTGAAGTTAGTAAAAAATCGTATTGACATTTCGGAATTTCTTTGCAGGTAGTTTCTTCCAAACAAAAAAAAAACGATAACGAACATAATTTGTGCTGCGCCCCCTTGTACAAACTTATTCACATTTATGATGTCTGCTTTAATGCGTAAAAGGATTTCAATTGGCAACGCCAAGGGCATACCGGCGCTTCAACGCCGGTCAGATTCAACTAACCTAACCTTATCACTGCAGTCTACATGTCTACATGCCGCCTCTAGGTGTTTCCGCAAATAACCATCCGTAAGAAAAAGCCCTTCTCGATTTTGTTCCTTAAAAATTCTGTTTAGGGATGTAAAGTGCACTAACATACATTCGGTGGGTGTGGTTCAGGGTTCTTCAGATACATTTTCTACACACGAGAATATGGACTGGCTGGTGTCAACCAAATCATACAAATAAAAATAAAATAAAATAATTGTTTAGGAATCTGGCAACTCCAAGAATTGTGCCATCTACGTCATCAAGACGTAAACAAGTCGTAACCTTATATTCTATGAACCTTGGCTAGAACAGCTGATTTGAGTGAGAAAGGATGGATGGTACCCTAAGCAGAAGTCCACGTAAGTGGGGAAAGCTCGCGACGTCCGGATATTTATATCCACGTATCCTTTGGGCAGCGACCTAACGCCCATTTGGGAGCGAGCTAAAGTGAGGAGTAAAACTTTGCGTGCGCTGGGTTTGGGTCCCGCCACGTTAAAACAACGCCCAATGAAAAGTAAGAAAAAGCCTCGGATTAGATCCCTTTTTTGATGACGAACACGGCAAACGTATAAAGCACTATATTTTAAGGGTGTGCACCTAGAGTATCCGGACCCTTAATGAGGAAGGTGTCTCTGTCCGGCTGGTTGATGTCCTCGCGAAAACTACGGCTGGCATCACCGCCATTCAGGAAATGCGAGCCTTGCGACGTAGACTACAGATGCCACGTAAAGGAGCTGAAATTCGGTGTTGGATTTATGGTGGGAGAGAGACTCCGTCGCCGAGTGCTGGCGTTCACCCCGGTGGACGAACGTCTAGCCTCAAACCGCATCAAAGCGAGATTCTTCAACATCTCGCTCATATGCGTCCATGCTCCGACAGAAGATAAGGACGAGGCGTCCAAGGATCTCTTCCATGAGTTCTTTTAGAGAACATATGAGCGCTGCCCCCGGACACGATATAATAATCGTTTTTGGCGATTTCAATGACAAGGTGGGCACAGAAGGGATCTCTGATGCCACTGTCAGAAAATTTATCCCCCACGTCGAAACATCCAATAACGGACTGAGGCTAATTGACTTTGCCGGGAGCCTAAATATGGAAATATGTAGTACTAGGTTCCAGCATAAGAAGATCCACCAAGCTATATGGCTGTCTCCACATCAAAAAATGACACACCAAATCGACCATGTTGTGACAGACGGAAGGCATGCTTCCACTATTTTATACGTACACTCCGAGGACCAAACATTGTCTTGGACCACTATCTTTTTGCAGCCAAGTTACGCACTCGCTTCTGTGCAGCAAAAATATGCGCCCAGCAATGCAAGGAAAGCTTAACGCCGAATCACAACAGATAGCCAATGCATTTGCCACTCGACTCACACACCACAACAAACCACATACGCGAGTACTGCGACCACATTTCCCGCTCATTAGGTACCGTCGCCGAAGAAATAGTCGGATTTCAGCGAGCCCGAAAGAACAACTGGTACGATGAGGAGTATCAAGAAGCTGCAGAGAAAAAGATGCCCCCTACCAAATACAGAAGCGAGACGTATTTGCCGCATTAAGAAGAGAGAGGTCGAAATACGTGAGAGCTTGAAATGCTGGCCGACAAGAAAAACGCCTGAGAGTTAGACGACTTACCGAGCGTTTCCATACCAGGGCGAAATCCTGTAAGAACAACTATGGTGACCTAAAAACTAACATCCAGAACGTACTTAAATTATGGCGGGAGCACTTTTCCACCCTATTGAATGGCAGGAGCACTGAAAGTAGTGGAGAAGACGAACCCGGATCCCCAGTCGATGACGATGGAGTCGATGTCCCACCGCCTGAGTATGACGAGGTACGAATAGCGATTACGCGGCTGAAAAACAACAAAGCTGCTGGACCTGACGCCTGCCAGTTGAGCTATTCAAGTACGGCATCAGCTCTAATGCATAATATGGTCAGATGAACGGCGAGGAGTTGATAAGGTGCATGCATCAGCTCTAATGCAGAATATGGTCAGATGAACGCATGCCCGACGACGGGAATTTTAGTGTGCTCTGCACAATCCACAAGAAAGGCGACCCCGCCATTCGCACCAACTACCGCTGGATCAGCCTTCTAAGCGTAGGTTATAAGGTCTTATCGAGTGTATTGTGCGAAACACTGAAGACCACCGTCATAGCGAACTGATTGCTCCCTATCAATGCGGCCTTAGGCCTGACAAATCCACCACAGAACAGATATTAACAATACGCCAAATCGTGGAAAAGACCCGCGAGTATAGGATCGACACACCATCTATTTTTCCGTTTGATTCCGAACGACGTTTCAGACAAGGTGACTCCCTTTCGTGTGATTTCTTTAACCTGATGTTGGAGAAGATAATAATAGAACTGAACTGCTCCGGCACAATACTCTAAAAGAGTGTACAATTTCTAGCATATGCCGAAGACAAGGATATTATCGGTAAAAACAAGGGCTACATCTTTCTGCCTTCTCGTTATTGGATAGAGAAGCAACGCGAATGTTGTTAGTGGTGAACGAGGACAAAACGAAGTATCTTCTGCCATCACACAAACAGTCTGAGCACACGCGTGTATGGCGCGGAGGCGTGGACAATGAAATCATCTCTTACAGTTTTCGAGGGAAAGATTCTGTGAAAGATTTACGGGCCTTTATGAGCTTTACAACGACATAGACATAGCGCAGCGAATTAAAATTCAGCGGTTCCGCTGGCTTGACCATGCCGTTCGAATGGACAGAAAAGCTCCTAAAAGAATAAATTTTCTTCTACCAAAATTTCTTAAACCAGTATGCAGCTGCCAAAAACAAAAAAGCCTGTATATGTATTAGAGCTCTAGATACCCGGGTATCGAGCAATGCGAGTAGCTCGATACTCGCTCGAAAATCGTTCATTGCTCAACTGCTCAAATGCTTGTTCAAAATTTTCGAGTTTTTGAAATTGTATTTGTCAGCAGCTGCTTTCTAATTCATGTTAAATAAATTATATTATTAGATACCAATGTAACAATCTTTGCATTATACATCAATAATTTGAAAAATTTAAAAGTTGCTACCAAAAATGTCAATATAATAAAAAAAACATTGCTCAAATTACTCGAAAAAACTCGAATTGCTCGAGCTCATGCTCGAAAATTTTCGAGTAATGAGCATTGAACAAGTGTGCGAGTACTCGCTGCTCATATACCCGGGCTGTTTAAAAATGTGCGAACAAAATCAAGAGCTCTAATATGTATTTGTTTCTTCAAGAAAATTTACAGCAACATCAGGGTACCATTTCAAGCAACTGAAGTAGAAATATATTTCTAGTGAACCTAAATTTACATTTTCATAACGTCCGTTTCTACAAGTTTGCCTATATGACTTTTTATGAAAACCTTTTTCTTCAAATTCTTACCTCTTATGCTGTAATCGCTTGACACGATCTCGGATATCTGCGGCCAGCGTTTCGGCCATCTGTAGTGAACGCCAGGAATCATAAGAGCGACCAAAGCGATCCCACGTCAAGCGTTCCTCAATAGCCGCCTCGATTAGCTTATAAATAGCCTCCATGCTAAAATTATTACGAAAGTATTCCCAATCGCGTTTCGGCTGCTCCGCCGCACACTCGGCATCTTCACCTTCGCCAGCGCTGGAATGCAGTTTTTGCAAAGCACGCTTCTTGCCCAACATTGACTCCATAAGCAAGGCATTCATGCGATTGGTGGTCCGCACAGATGCGGTGATGCTGATGAAAAGAAATAAAAGGAACCAAAAAGGAAAAGTGATAAAGTTGTTGAAACTTTTTAATTTATTGAGGAAAACTGGTTTTTAAAAAATATATTACCGTGTTCGCACGCCACTCCAAGTAGACATTTTCAAGCAATCAATCAATCAATCAATAGCCGTCTATTTTCACTTAATTTACTAGCAAATTTTCTCTACCTGAAGGTTATCAGTTTTT